GCAGCGGCCTCCAGCCCACGGGGATCCTGACAGGACGGCGGCCCCGGGTGCCCACGGGCTTGCTGGGCTCAGACCCAGGCCCCTCGCCATAATATGTGGGCGGCGGAGGGACTGCACTCCCCGTGGCTGTGGCCTCATGGGGTCCCGTAAGGTGCGAACCTGCAGAAGCCCTAGGACACGGTCTGGCCCGATAAATGCCACTGCCCCTGTTTTTGTAAGAGATTTTCCCAAAGAACCTAGCACTGCTCCCGACCAGCACCTGCCCCCACCCCTGTGGCCTCCAGGGTGCTGGCGGGGGGGGCGGGGGGACTCCCTCCCTGGCAGGTGCTGCCCATGGCTGGGCCCAGACAGCGCCCTCTCCTCTCCGGGAGTCGGAGGTACCACGGCTCAGGGTGCCCATGTGCTCCCACCTGGGGTACAAAACAGTGTCCTGCCCAGGAGTGACCTCCAACCCTGTTACCCCACCAGGCCCTGCAGAGCATCCTGTCCCAGGGCCCACCCCAGGCTGTCCCACTCCTGCAAAGAGGGTGCGGGGGGCAGGCCTGGTGTGGATCTCATCGGTCTCTGGGAGTCTGGCTCTTGCCAGTCAGTAGAGGGGGTGCTGTCCTGCCTAGGCCTCTGCCCACAAGCGTGGGGAGCAAGCAAGCTACACGGAGGGAGACATCAGTGACTCTTTATTTTCAGCAGGTCAGTGGCTGCTGGGGGCACGGAGGGTCAGAGCAGGCCTCAGCTTCCCACCCACCCGGAGGGGATGTGCAGGGGCAGGAACTTGCCAGAGGGTGTTGGATGCCCACTGCCATGGGGTGGGGGGGCAGGGTGGCTCAGAGTCGGCAGGCTGGGCAGGTCCCCCAGGGACGCCTGGGCCTCCAGGGGAGAGGAGTGGTCGTGTCCAATAAATAAACAGGCAGTTTCAAACCCCTGGGCCCCGGCCTCCAGGGCAGGGGCTCACAGGCTCTCTTCTTGATTCAGACAAGAACTGGTCAGGGAGCCGTCACAAGGGCAGAAGGCCCACGCCCTGGCTCTGCCCTTGTGCCCCCCAGGGAGCCCACAGCGCTCTGGGGAGAGCGAGAAGGCCTCTCAGAGGCCGAAACAGGGAAGAGAGGGCCTGGCTCAGCTGGGCCCCGTCCCGCCAGGAGCAGCTCCTCGGGCAGATGCAGGGTTGGATGGGGCGGAGCTGCAGAGCCCGGTGAGGTGTCCCATCTCCTCTACTTGCCCAGGGCCCCCCGGGGCAGCAGCTCCACATAGCTCAGGGCGCTCTGCAGGGACGTCAGGCAGTAGCCCCCCTCTCCAATCAGATACCTGTGGGACAGCGTCTGTCACTGAAGGAGGCCCCGGAGTTCTAGAAGGGGCACCTGCCCTCGGGG